AGATTTTCCTAGTACAGTGTCTAATGGTGATGTCTAGGTAAACGCATAAAATTTCCTCGGCCGTTCAGGATTTTCTTGATTGTTTCTATGCCAATATCCCTTCATTGTTAAAAAACGCAGATGCTTTGACGGCTTACCTTTGTTAGGAAAACTGTGACCTCGCCATTCTCGCTGGAACGTGGTCGAATTCTAAGCATAAGATTGCCAAGCTACTTCACATTGCTGCTTCACATTATACTTGTTTCAGAACTGATAGAAAGTTTAAAAAGGGAGGTAGTCGCCGTACTAGTAAAAACTCAGCATTCTACCACTGTATTCTGGCTTGTGACATTGCTTTCTACTTTGAGGAAATAGATTGACTGCTGTTTACAGAGCACCTAATTGCTCCTCTTTTTAAAGCAGTCAGCTTCTTAAGGCCCTTAGTGATCTATGTTCCTCCAATAAACCCTGTGCAAATTAACTGATTTTCCTCGAGTTAAAAGCAACGATTGCCTAGGAACTAAGTACAACTGAGTAATGCTTTGCCGCTCATAGTTTTACTCAATTTATCTCATTCCCAACCAGATATGATTCATTTCTCGATTTATTACTATGCAACAATTCGTCATTACTGCACTCAATTTCTGAGGTCACTCCCATTGGAAGCAGTGATCACTCTAGTGTAAGGTTTTTCTTACCACTTTCTAAACATTTCCCTGTACATAGGTGGTGTAGAGTCTTTAGTAGGGCTAATTTTCGTGCTATGCGTAATTATTCGAGTAATGTTGATTGGTAAGGTTCCTTTGGAAGTGCAAATGGAAAGGATGCTGAATACGAAGTGTTTCTCGCTATCATACACCATGCGATAGATCTATTCATACCTTTTAAAAGGCTCTCTCCATCAATGTCCAAGTTACCCCCTTATCTTGCATCAATGTGGAAAAGAAGGGAACAGCTTCGGAATTCAGCCTTGAAAACGCAACAGCTTTTGGAATGAGAAAGATATAAACTATTAGATAAGAAGTACACTAAGAAACTGAGTAAATTCTACGCTTGTGTTGAGGCCAAAATGTTGTCCAAGGAAGGGATAAGAGGCTTCCATTCAATCTTGAACTCGAGGCTTTCAGATGAGCCATGCATTGCTTCTTTATGCAAAGATTCAATAAGGGCAGCAAAAAAGTGTAAGGTTTTTCTTATCTTTTTCTAAACATTTGATGAAAGCAAAGCTGGGATGTTAGCCGATACTTTTGAAAAGGCCTTTGCTTCATCTTGCCCTGTACTGAAACCTCTGCTGTATCCCAGTATTGATTGCACTGACCCTGCTCCTTGGTTTTATAAAGACGATATTGTGATGATTTGCTTGAGTGGGCTTCATCAGCCTCGAATAACCCTGATGGACTACCATACTTAGTTATCAAGCAATGCATTCATGAAATCACTGGCCCTCTTGAGTTCCTATTTAATCTTAGTTTCATGAACAGTGAAGTACCTCGCAGATGGAAACATGCCATTGTCATTCCGCTGCCCAAAAAAGAACCACTGTCTGATCCTGGAAACTATAGACCTATAAGCTTGACCTCTATTTTTGCCAGAGTTTTTGAAAAAATTCTTAGGAAATACATGATTTCTCATCTTGATAACTTTGGTATAATTCCGAATTCCCTTCATGGTTTTTGTAGAGGTAGATCTATTGAGACTTCATTACTGGATTGTCTCAGTGACTGGACAACCTCTTTGGATCGGGGGAAAAGCGTAGATGTGGTTCATTTTGATTTCCAAAAAGCACTTTATAAGGATTCCCATGAGTTACTGATACAAAAGCTGGAACATTTTGGTTTCCATCCTCTGGTGAGGAATTGGATGAAAAAGTTCCTGTATAATAGAACATTTCAAGTTTTAGTGAAGGATTCTTTCTCATCAGTTCGTACCGCAAAATCAGGAGTGCCCCAAGGTGGGGTACTGCACAGGTTTTCTTCAACATATTCACTTCAGACTTCCCTTGGTTTCTTAAGGATCTTGACGTTGTCTGCAACCTTTATGCAGATGACATAAAAATCTATAAAGAGGTCTTCGGAGTTGGGTCTGATATAAATCTCCAGAAAGCAATTGATAAAGTAGCTGAATGGTCTGAAATGAATCATATTCCACTTTCCATTGAGAAAACACAAATGCTGTGCTTAGGCAAACATGCCCGAAATCCTTCATATCGTTTGGGCGGCTAGATACTTAAAGTGGTATCAGAAGTCCGTGACCTGGGATTTCATTATGATAGAATTCTTAACTTTTCTAATCATTATGAAGTATTAGTTTCAAAAGCCCTTCGCCGGAGTTTCAATGTTTTCAAGGTGCCTCGCACCAATGACTCAAAAACTCTGCTAAGGGCTTTCAAGTTCTACGTCCGTCCCATTTTGTAATGTGGATTTACTGTTTTCACACCCTATAAGAAAAAAGAAGAAAAAAGATGTTTATGCTTTGGTAGGAGTTCAAAATAGCTCCACTCGTAAACTTATGATGCGGAGTCATCGTTTAAATTATAATGAAATACATAGTGGAAGTGAGCGTAATAAGACACTTGGTCTTAAGTCTCTCGAATGGAGAAGAAAGAAATTTGATATACTCATGGCATATAAAATTTAAAATGGCATAACCACCGTGGATATTTCGAAGTTCTTCACAATCGTGTCTTCTGACACGCGAGGCTCCTCCGCTAAGATTTCATGGTAACAACTCTTCGGACGTCCGTAATTTCCTTGTTTGGAGGGTTCCTTAAAATCTGCACCTGCACCTTCCCTCAGGTTTATGACATACCTATTCCCACATATCTACTTTTATGCTCTCAATTCGTCAGGTTACGAAAAACGGTATAGCCTTGCAGACATCCACAAACCGTTCCGTCTTTGGGCATTGGTGAGCTCTTTTCCGGGATTGCTCCTCGTCTCAACATTTCCCACATGTCAGCCTCTACTTGCGCAAGCCTACGCTACTTGCGCGCGGCACGCGCTTCGACAGACTTTTTTTTTGGGCTATAGGGTATTCAGCGCTGGAGAAATGTTGAGATATCAGAATATACGTATATTTCACACTATGAGTGCTGAAGTAGTCTCTCATAGCCATTTTCCCTCTTTTATAATGGTTCAGACTAGAATCTCTATCAACACAGCGATATCGAAAACTTTGGTGAAGAAATGTCCAAAACTTAATCCGAACATCTTAAAAAAGGTTTTTGTGGAAGAATGCAGCTGAGGGTCAAAGATTTTTGATTCGATTTGGTACGATTCGAAAATTGCGACGCACTTGCTCACGAATGGGAAAAGATCAAGACTGTTACTGAGGAAATGATCGCGACTTTATCCCAGCATGCAATCCTTCTTCAAATTTCCCGGACCACGGTGTGATGGGTCGCCATATATAGCCCATAGCGGACAGGAAAGCCTGCGCTCAAGAACGCAATACTGTTGCTGCTCCTAAGAAATCATCGAAAAAAGCTTGGGCTGGAGTTTCTCAAGTAGCTCTTCGTCTCACAAACGATGAGTAGCCGAAGCGTCTTCGAGCTATAATTACCACAGGTTTGTTTGTGTGTTATAATAGCTATAATTTCTACAGGTTTTCCGTGTGTTTGCTTTGTAGATGCGATGGATAGTAAATAGCTCACAAGAATTGATCATGTATCAGCATGAACTGCGGTTTCTTGGGCCAATATTTTTGTTACCATTTTTATGGCGAACTCTGTATATATATACATATATACATATATATGTATATATAATATATCATTACTAATATAATTACATACGAAATAGTGAACGTCGTAATGTAAGCGCCGCATGTGCATAGCGCGGAATATCAGGTACACATTTTTGGTCATTTTTTAGTGACCACTTTTCGATGTCCATTCAAATACTCCGATAACGGGCGATTTCTACGCAAACCGTGCATGGATAGTCTCTCTAGACTGAGTAGTGATCTAGGAGCGAAGTAAATATTGCGTTAAGACGTTATGCGGGTAAGCTGCGACTCTATCACGCTGAGCACGGCTTAATGTGATAGGAATCTACACCTGTTGTTGTGAGCATGCAACGATACGACCGTAATTAGACTTCTTCTTTCATCAGTTTAAGATCTCTTGTGATTGTTTCACTCGTGTGAGAGCCTCACATGTTTCCTGCACTTTAAATCTCCAAAAGTTGTATCTATTTTTCAATGCTCATAAATTGTGATAAAAACGAATTGCGCGCAATTGCTACGAACCGTTACATCAAAATTTGAACATCTGCCGCGCAGTGCGCTGCGCGTCACGTGTTCGGCGTGAGAGGCGATACTTCTTCATGGAATGGATCTCTGTCGACCTACGGATTCTTCCGTCCATCGAGTTTTACTTCCAGAGATTTCAGCATGAAGAAACTCTCAGTTGATCCAGAGGACCAATAGGTCAGGTATGCATTTCGATGCCAGCTATAGTTCATGCGCAGCTCAGAGAATGTCAAGTTTAGGGTAGTAATTCAACAACGGAAATGAACGAACCTGCTCCGAAGGTGAGCACACTTCACCGATTACTCTCACTTCATCATCCTCCTTACTATCCGGTGCTTTAGTCTTCGCCCGAAGGGGTAGCGGATTACAATGTTTGTAGGGAGTCGATCTCTGAAATGGCTAAAAAATCCATTCAAAATCTAGTGATGAAGACGTGCCAGAAAATATGAGCCTAAAGATGACCCCACAGTAATAGTGACAACAGAGATACCCGCAATTTGCTCGAGTGGCACTTCATCCAATCACCTTAACCACCCGGTCATCCAACCACGCTATGTGTGGTTCAAATTAGTTTTTAGCAGTGAAGGAACTGGGTCGAGCCTAGATCAATGATGAAACCTACCTTTCTAGTCAACCCTTTATTCGACAGTACATTGACCTGTTTATTCTGAGCACGAATGGGTGCTTGCGAAACGACCTCCATATCTGCAAAGGAAAATGTATGGTTGAGTTGCTGAGGCTTTGTAGCCTGAACTAAAAGCTATATGGAATAGCGCCGTGGCTTCAAGTTTGTACCACCTGCGACATGGCTTTCGCAGCGAATATATGGAATATGGCGAAATATCGAAGCTGAGGTTGAAAAAAGAAGTGTGCTCCGTACTCGCTATACGGTGGCTGAAAAGTATAGGACTCCAATTTTGTAGGCGTAACTTCCACGAAAAAGATCAGGGAGGCAAATCAATTTGGTTGAGGAATAGTGTAGAGCTACAGATCACTTAAGACAGGATGTGTGCAGAGTTCGATCCATTGCTGTTACACAGGGCTCTAGACGTTCGATGACTGGATCAAGAGTGCGCTGCAGGTAATCGACGTCGATAGCGTCCCACGTCTTCTGAAATGCCAAATTCAGAGCGTCCAACAAGCAGTAAGAGAGTCCTGCAATCTTGCTCTCTAGAAACTCCACACAGTGGAGTTCATCGGATTAAAGTCTGGCGAATAGGGAGACCAGATGTCTTTGCCCCAGGACCAGGGAAAGTGCGCGCTTAGTACGGCTCTCGTCGACTTTGAGACATGAGAAGGGACCCAATCTCGAGTAAGGTCGAACGTCGCTCACCAAAATGTTCAGTGATCCATGGTAGAAAGGTGCTTACCGAAACTACCTTTTGGTATACATCAGAGTTGATTTTCACATTTCTGTCGTTTGAGACAGTGGTGTTTTACTTTCTGATGTCACCCTGGCCCAAACCATCGCACTTGTAGAAGATAGTCTGTCAAACATCAGAAGATGTTCCGGCATGCTGTCAGCTGACAAGAACTGTCTGTGGTTTTGACGGTTTGCACACTGTTCTACCGTGAAAATTTTTTCATCGGACCCACCACGTAAGAGATGCGGCGCGCCCTTAGCTCTTGATGAAGTTCTTTGCACATTATCAACCGATTTTGTTTGAACTGCTCCTGAAGAAACTGTTCTCGATAGAGCCAATAGTCGAATGTATGTAAGGTCCTCCTGAGGGACTTTGATACTACGCCGAATAGAGGTGGTTTCATTTAAAACTGTCCGACGAAACACAGAAGTTCACAAGCTCATTGTAACAAAAAAAACACGAACAATAAAAACAAGGAAAGTTGAGGAGCAAAAGATGTAACAAAAAGGTCCATCACTGGGTCGAGCACGAAAAGAACCGCGGGGAGGTCCAGCCGTAAAAGAACCTGGCCACTTAGGTCTTCCTTCATAACCGGATCCTACTCATTTCACGAACCACTGAGATTCGTCTCACCAACACTCAATAAGGGTGCTAGAAACGTCGGGGGAGGGGGGGGGGACAGGGCACGGAGTCCACAAACTCCGTGGTGTAAACAGTTGGCGACGGGTGAAAAAAAAATTAATGACGACCTCTCCCTCTTAAGGGTTCCCGTTTATACAGTTCTGCACACGGCCTTCCTCAACAATGCATCCCTGAAACAGTCAGCATACTTCTTGTGAACTTTTATCCTCGATTTTCCATCACTACGACTTCTGAGTAAGCTGTATAACTTCGGCCGTCTGACCAGGGAAGGCTTCCAACTTCCCATAGAACTTTGAATAGAGACCTAGGCTTTATATCATAGGGCATTGGAAAATTATTAACAAATGTGGAAATTAAAAATGCAAAATGGGTCTACCAAAAAAGTTGTGAGCGTTCAAAGTTTGCATGTTTAAAGCAGTGAGAGATAGTGCTAGTTGATGAGCGCAATTGCCCAAAATGACCACAAGGGTCACCGTGGCGTGGTGGCGGTGCTTTCCCTCTCTGGGTTAGCGATGGTGCTTTGCTACCCGTTGTCGTTTCCGCTTTTGCAAAACGCGCTTTCATCCGAATGAAAGCTGTTAAACCGTTTTTTCTCACTATCACCTGCGATCACCTATCTATCACCTATCACCACACATTAAACATTTATCCACTTCATTTTTGTAACGCTATTTTCTTTCTCTTTTCAACACCGAAACAAACATACCCACAACCAAAGTGAAATAGTCCTGAACACGCGAGAAAATTCAACATCGATGAAACAACCCAAAAAACGGGAAGAGAAAACGTGTATTTTTTAGTGTCGTATCGATTGTTGTTTTAATTACGGCTGTATAGACAGCATCTACATATCTGCTTCACTCATTTCTTGGGTTCTTCCATCATTATTCAGTTTTTCACGCATATCTGTTATAAATGTTTCGGATTTCGCCCTCAACCTCAAGAAATTTTGAACAAGTGCGGTGATAGGTGATAGATAGGTGATCTCAAATGATGGCGAAACAAAGCGCTGACTTAAACTAGTAAGAAAAAACGGTTTAGGAGCCTTCATTCAGATGAAAGCACGTTTTAAAAAAGCGTAAACGACAACGGAGAGCAAACCCTCACCGTCCACCTGGAGAGGTAGAGCACTGCCACTACGCCACGTGACCCTTGTGGCCATTGCGGCCGCTTATCAACTAGCACAATCTCTCCATGCTTCAAACATGCAAACTTTGGACGCTCACAACTTTTTTGGTAGACTCATTTTGCAGTTTTGAGTTCCATATTTGTTAATAACTTTCTAAGCCCTATCGATATACCTAGGTCTCTACTCTGAGTTCCATGGAAATTTGAAACCTTTCCCTGGTAAGATCTTTTTAGGAATTACTGTCAACTTGCCCATACCCGTATTCCGGTATCCAACATTGCCACTCCCCTTTGAAAACACGGATTGGCCACATCCAGCAACTACGGGGAGCGCTGTTTTCTGGCCTTTGATGGAATACACTCTTAATTCCTCACCTTGCTTACATGGCCATCTTTCTGCGGCAGCTTTTCTTTCTTCTTTGAACAACACTTTTCCTAGATCGCCATGTACGGCTCTCTCTGAACCACGGCATAGCTCAGAAGTCATCACGCAATTATAAGTTGTGCCACTTACCGATCAGTCCTATCCTCGCGACCTTTTCTTAGCCAGTAGTGGTCTAGTAAGCGTTTCGGACTGGGTGTTCTTCAGACTCACTAGTGGAAGGTCAACTTTATATATGGCCTGAACTCCCGCGTGATGTGAGGCATTTTCTTCTACCCTTCATTTTTGGCACAGTGATCTGGATTTAGAATGCTTCGAGGGTTTTTCGTGCAGGTGTTTGCGATTCTCGCGCCAAGACCTCGGCCATAACCTCGGAGTCGGCTCCGTAAAGAGTTTCCACTCTGGAGGCGCCTAAGGCAGTTGACATGGGTGACCTACCCTTGCCATCTAAGGCTCCTTGATGTGTGCGCATGTACGTTTTGATGTTTCGCCGATATACACCTCTCCACAGCTGCAACAAGTGATTTTGTAGACCAGCCCTACGATTATACAGTCACCTTCAGTGCCGGTTGGGCAGACCACATAGTTGGGGGTGGTACACTACGCGGTCCTAGAGCCAACTGCGAATCAGCCGATGCTCTAGGATCTAGGGGGTACATCTAAAAAGGCAACTAGATTCTCCAGACCCGACTCCCTCAGGCACTCCCTAATGAAAATGCTAACCTCTTCAGAGACGGATGGTACAATGAACGGAATTTTGCCGTTAATATACGTAGTTGTTGAGCGCAGCTATGGCTGTTGTACGGAAAATACTCCTTAGAACCGCCCGCTTGCTCTGCGAAGTATGACCCAAGAGGCAATGCACGATAATATTCTTGTTGCTGGGGTTCCTCTACCAGTTCGTTGAAAGCTTCCCGCTATGCAGCCTCACTCGTGCATTCAGAAATGGAAGCCAGCTTTCAGAGGGTCGTTCTCATGCAGTCGGATGTGCTCGGATTGAATGTTAAGTAGGTCAAAATACATGTCCATCTGTTCTTGCGTCGAGCAAACCACGAAAACGCTATGTACCACCCAGAAAAACTCCCCCTAAAGCTGTTTCTCTGATTGTGAGTGGTATATAGCGCTTTCCGCTACAATCACCTTATTGGCAGTTCCCTTTTCCTTCATCGACTTGTTTCCTTGTCTCCTTTCTTTTATCGAGTTATTTCGATTGAAATGTCAATACCTAGCTTACTTAAAGCATTCATCACCACAGTCACTTCGAATTCTTACTTCGGGCTAATATGAAATTCTACCTCATGGGTACAGCCATCTTTCAACTTCGCCCCTAGGTAAACTGCTGCGAGAATGTCCATCCTCCTGTCCGATGCATCGAAGACTGGCTTAAGCTCGGCTTTGGATATGATTTTCAACGCATCTAAGTTCATGCTTTTGTCCTGTGCCCCTGCCAGCAGCTCTAGCGGAACGATGCTTATTATTGACCCTGATCTGCTAAAGCTTGACAGTGCTCGCCTAACAAATTGAATGATATTGTCAATCTCTCTCCCATGAGATCGCTTTCTATTGATCCCTTCCCGCTTCATCCCCATGCATCTGACTTCGTTGATGATCGACGACAGTGTCCTTCTGTCGCTTCTCGGCTCCTTGTGTTCAATCTGATAATACTTTTGCCACCCGGCTTGAACATTATCTTGCCACATGCCCATATGTACCTAGAGCAAGTGTAGCATTTACTACTTTCCATTAGCGAATGTTATTCGACTGCTGAGACCCACGTTGCTGACGCATTTCAAAAAAGCCTACCGTAATCGACAACAATAACGTCAGAGTTAGCTCCCAATATTCCCACATTATGGTAATCGTTTAGCTTGACTCTCACTTTTTTGGGATTTCCTATGGCATTCCGCAGGTTCCAATTCATTTCCAATTCAGCACGTACAGCAGTATGGAGCAATAATGTCTGCCTAGCTTTACAATATCCTACGAGCTCAGACCATCTGTTACAATGGAAAATCTCGTATGTTTCATTGTCGACAGCTTTCTTATAGACTCTGTAGAACAAGCACCCGGAGCTGACTGAGGCAATCGCACCCCAGTCTACTGCATGATTCTACCCAGGCTGTGCTGCCAGTGGAGTGATTCCCTTATTCCAATTCGGGAAGAAGACTAGAGTATTGATTAATCCGCACTTATCGTTTACGCACGAGCCCATATGTGCGTATCGTTTACTGTCCACTACACTGTGTTCTGTGTTCCTAGTGAAGAAGTTTGTTATCGGCTCGCACTGATGGTCTACCGATTTCCAACGTAGTTATTTCCTGCAGCGTGGTTCCACTTGTTGGAAAACTTGAGATAAGCTTCCTTCTTGAAACTGTTGATCTTGGAAATTTCTGACACCTGGAGTCCGCACGAGGTTATATCATTCGCTGTACAAATTGTTGGTCTATGGGTGAAAATGTTCACCAATTGACACCCATTTACAGCTGATGTTAGTGTTAGTGTTAGTGATGGCGACATCCATGACCTTGCTAGAGCTTTGAGTACAGACCAGTTCGCTCTCGCAAGCCATTTCACGGGCCGTCCTACCGCAGGCGGTACGTAAAGAGAAGGTAACATCCTGACACCGCGAAATAGATTACCGTAGCTGTAGCTGGTATTGTAGTCATAGACCAACATTCGGAATTAAAGATGTTGACACTACAAAAGGTACAGTCCTTTGATGAACAAAAAGGAGCCGTTGGGTAGGAACTCACGATAGTTTTTATTGTATTAGGGAGTGATAGCTTCAACTGCACTTCATACGCATGCAGAATGACTTGAGGTGGAAAGGTTACTGTTCCGTTTCCTTGCGGCTCCTTGATTTCGATACAGAAATGTACGACATAAATTTTTATGAGGGATTCGCTCCGAAAGACGTAGATTTACCCCTTTTTCTGTACACATTATTTTCGTTTAGCATTCGAAATATTGTGTGCACTTGTTATGATCGCTCCTGCGGTAGAAATAAGAACATATAAGAACAGGATCTGTAAAAGGGGTGAGAAGAGTAACATATGCGAGGCAAGCGAGCCCTATCTTCATTATCTTCCTCTCACTATAGCTTAATTTTTCACATCGCCTTAGGTTATATCTCAAATAGACGGAAAACTTAACTGCTCTTTTCTGACGAGTGGGTATGTCTGCCGGGTGAGAACAGAGTAAACTGCAAATGCAAGGGCTTTCCATTCAATTCGTGAGTCACTTACTTAAAGGCACGGGTCACGATAAAAAAGGTTACTGAGTTCGTCCTTAAGGAATACTCAGCGCCCCCATAGGTGGTAGAGGGAACCCTCTCGCTTCCACAATCTCGGCGCTTAGGGCATGGAGGAAGCCCCGCTGCTGCCGTAGTTCGCTTTCCCGCCCCTCGATCGGTGTCACGTTAGACGAGTGTCGAGACCATACAGATTGCTATTATTCGTTCTAGCATCCACGCACAATCAGCTAATCGTCGAGTGATGAGGCGATGTTTTTCTCCCATTCTTTTTTCCTCTGTTTTTCTTTTTTGCTGCCGCGATCCCTTATTTAATTTCCTACTCCTAGAGGCTGAAAAAGGTGAGCTACTTCTGCTGTTACAAGGTTTTTTTTGTTTATTTATGCTTATAAGTGAATGAATTTCTGCTTACCATTGTCTGTTATTCGCACCAGGACCCACACGCACGCAGTGAAACACATTGTTTAGCTCGTCCGGACGCCCCACTCTTCTTCATTTTTGTGGTTTCATTCTCGTCCAGCCCCCTTTTTAACTGTTTGTCGAAGCTTTTTTCCACTTTGAAAATATCGATGCACGCAGTTTCTTCACCTAGTATCGATCTTGTCTTCCACTTTCATCATAAACTGGATTACCCAAAATTATCGTGAACTGTGCTTTTAAGAAGCAGCTATCGGCCAATTTCCTGTCGTTGCTGCTTCGAAAGCACGAAACAGCACGAGCCTAAGCCCAGGTGACCAACATGGTAACCTCGGAAATAATAATGAATTTCTCGGAACGCATAACACATGAAATATTGGTAGGTGAAACTCTTGGCAAGGCTGAAGCAACCCGTTTAACCGGATGCTACAACTGTACACTCACCCAAGGGACTTGTTACTCCTCTAGGAGCAATATTGACGGCGAAGTAATATGTGATCAAGTGAGGTCTACAATACCATGCAATACCACAGGAACGCTTCAGTGCCGCTTAAGCCCATGCTGTACTGGCCTGTTCGATATCTGTGGGAAAATCATTGACTCCTTTGAAATCGCAGGTATACTGAAGTTTACGACATCCGCCCGAGGAACCATAGAACAGTGGCTAAGAGGGAAGACAATAGCCTACTTTAAAATTGGGTTTACTGATTTGTTCCTCATAGCTACGGTATTATTCCACTGGAACAAAACGCTGATGTCAGCACTGTGTGTGTCTGTGTGTGGGTGTGTGTGTGTGTCTGCGCGTGTGTGCGAGGGTGTGGGTGTGTCTGTACGTGTGAGTGTGTGTGTCTGTGTGCGTCTTTGTGTGTGTGTGCGTGTGTGTGCGTGTGTGAGTGTGAGTTTGTGTGCGTCTGTGTGTGTGAGCGTGTGTGTCTGTGTGTGTGTGCGTGCGTGTGTGTGTGTGTGTGTGGGTGGGTGGGTAGGTGTGGTCATGGGTGTGTGTGAGTCTGTGTCTGTCTGTGTGTGTGAGGGTGGGTGTGGGCGTGGGCGTGGGTGCTTGTGGGGGTGGGTGTGGGTGCGGGTGTGACGTGGATGTGTGTACATAGGTACATAGGTGGATGTGGGTTTGGGCATGGGTGTGTGTGTGTGCGTGTGTGTGCGTGTGTGTGCGAGTGCGCGTGTGTATGTGGGTGGTTGTGGGTGTAGGTATGTGTGTGGGTGTGTGTGTGTCTGTGTGTGTTTGTGGATGTGTGTCTGTGTGCGTGTGAGTGGGTGTGTCTGTATGCGTGTATTGTGGGTGTGTCTGTGTGTGAGCGCATGTGTCTGTATGTGTCTGTGGAGGCGCGTGCGATTGCGAACATGTACGTTTGTGCCAAGATTGGTGAAATTCATAATTCTTGATTTCTATTATGTGAGAAGACAAGCGGCGTGGTATGAACTCTAATGGTTTGTGGCAGGATTTGGTGCCCACGGGAGGCGCGAATTGAACGAAAATCAGTTTTTCACGGGAAATACACAAATCCAGTTTCTTGAGAACTAGACAGTTCAAACTTTACAGGAGCATAGGCACTAACGTTATGTGGCAGAGGCTCTGCATGCGGGAAACTTGGCCCTTTAGACGTGGGTTAAATCTGCTAGGAATAAAAGCAGCAGTATGGAAATGCTCAGGGGAGGTGGTATGACTTAACTCGCCCACAGGAGGTGGATCGTGAGCGAAAGTTGCAGATTCGGGCTTAGGGCGTTAAAATCTGGAACGAGTGCAGGCAGCAGATTTAGGTCGCTGAGGGTAGGTTGTAGAAAGTGACTGAGGTGGACCCAGCCCACGAAGACGTGAGGGATTAGGGGGCGGACCATGCGCGAAATGAGCATAATTTGAGGGAAAGCAGAAGTTGGAATAAGAGGGAGTGAACTCAGGGACATTCGAAATGCAGAGGTCTGTTGATGGCCGATGTTGCCTTCTTGCTCGATTCGGGAATATGATGGTTGCTCCAC